AATTTTTCATATAACATGTGTTTTACTGACCACAAAAAAACAGGAAATCATAAACCAGTTGTCAGTTTTTGCTAAAGTTGGTGTGAAGCAATTTTCTGGTGTGAGTGTTAGAGGTGCAAATTGCAAGGTCAAATCTTGGGTGTGGCACCTTATTTTCTGAGATAATTTGATTGAAATATGTATATATGTGATATGCTGTCAGACATTCAGCTCTTCACTCTTACTGTAACATAAGTGCCTTCTTTGGGATATACATTTGGCTTTTTACTGTTCAGAAGGCCACCTTATTCTGTAAACATGAGAGATTGGCCTTGGATTCATCTACCTTTCTATCTGTAAATATTGACTTTTCTATATTTGTTTATTTTAAAAAAAATTAAATAAAAAGATGCATTTTTTTAAAGGTGAATGAAGTATAGCTTCATTAATATATTAGTTTTGAATTTTTCTAAATATCTGTCTTGTGACTTTGTTGATAAAAAAACAGATTATATTTTTTTGATTTTGTATGTTAATAACAATTTTTGTAGAATTTTTAAAAGAAACAGTGTGTTGATATAAAGGATGTATTAGAAGAGAATATGCATGGTTGTAGTGAATGTTCCAGTGACAATAGATAAGTTAATGCTACTTTCTCAGATAATCATTTGTCAAATTACAAAGTCAAATCAGAAGACAAATCAATACAGACCATGTTGTTGTGGAAGTTTTTGATGCTGCCATGAATTAATGTTGTGTTGTGTACAACTCATTATCTTAAACAGCGGCTTATATACTACCTATTGTAAAGTTATATATATTAAAATATTAACTTCTTGAAAACAAGCGAGATGAAAATATAAAAACAACAACAACAACAACAATTAGCCGGTAGTATAGTGATTATTTGGCAATAATTGACTTAAGTAGGACATTTAAATACTCAATGACTTATTTTACAATAATTGTCAGTTTCCAATGTAAAACATAGACTGTGAAGTAATGATTAGCTTATATTGTATAAGTTAGAAGCATATATGAGCCGCGTCACTACAAAACCAACATAGTGCATTTGCGACCAGCATGGATCCAGACCAGCCTGCGCATCCTCGCAGTCTGATCAGGATCCATGCTGTTCGTTATCAGTTTCTCTACTTGTAATAGTGTTGGTAAGCGAAAAGCATGGATCCTGATCAGACTGCGCTATGTGGGTTTTGTTGTGACGCGGCTCATATATATGTAGAGTGACAATAATAAAATTTGATGATCTCAGTTAGAAGCTGAATGTTTCAAGTTTTGATTTTGTTTACACCAAAGAAACAATTATTTTCAGTAAGTTTTGTTATCAATACTAAATGGCAACAGTGTCATAATTTACTTCACTGCATAATTTATAGGATTAAATATAAACATTAAAAAATTTTTTTTTAATAAAATCGATTTTTAAAAAAAAATCTTTATTAAAGTTAAAGTATGCCAATCCAGGAGTAAATGGTGCATGTTAGGTAAAATTCAAAATTACTTTACATTTTTGTCAGATTTGTTTTCAATTTCATAATAAACATCATCTAAATAATTAATAACCAGTGTGACCCACATATCTATTAATATCCTTTGGATATTATCGATTGTGTTCAGTTTATAAAAAGAGTGGGGCAGTCTTTTCATATTTTAGACTGTTTTGATGTTTTATCATTTTCAATCATTATGCAATCACCATTGTAATTAATAGTCAATCTTTAGGTTAGTGTAACTATTTTTACTCAGTTCGACTGTAAAGAAATTAATTATTTAACTTAAATCAAGAACTGTCTATAATAAAAATACAAGGCATATTTCGGGAACTTCCAGGACAGTCCTGGTAAGCAGAAAAGTGCTCAAACCCATGATCCCTAAGTTGAGAGGTTGACACTGAGGAAAACACTAAAACAAACAACATCATACTTAATACTAGTGTATTCAGTCATATTTTACTTAGTGGCTCATGATACAAAAACAATGTATATTTTCAAACATATTTTACCTGTTGAGCCATCTACAACTGAAGTGTACTCAATGTATACTTAGTTTTGTTAGTTACACCACCTAGAATCATGATAAAGAAGTTATGTTAGTTACACCACCTAGAATCATGATAAAGAAGTTATGTTAGTTACACCACCTAGAATCATGATAAAGAAGTTATGTTAGTTACACCACCTAGAATCATGATAAAGAAGTTATGTTAGTTACACCACCTAGAATCATGATAAAGAAGTTATGTTAGTTACACCACCTAGAATCATGATAAAGAAATGTAGTGTACTCAATTTTAAATATTTTACTCATAAAACCATCAAGACCTATGATATGGAAATAATGTCCACTAAGTAATGGTTTACTTGAACCATTCAGAAATACACTCAGTGATTGTTAACTCAGTGATCTAAATATCATCAAGGAATATTTTGACTTTATAGAATTTATATATTTCTGAATACTGGAAGCATCTGTAAATAAATGATAAAGCATGTTGTTTCACTCTACTGTAAAAACAAAAAATCCAAGTGTGTTTTTTTCCCTTTTAAATGGAAAAAAATATGAATTGGAGTGCAATAAATAGTAATGAGCACTGATATTTAATATCACTTCTACAAGCATTTCTGTTATTATTTCATCACATATTTTAACTCTATGTGAGCAATATTATATCATGCAGTCAGATATAAAACCTGATACATAATCATGGTTAGCCCAGTGATTTAGATCCAACATAATCATGGTTGAGATCCATCATAATCATGGTTAGCCCAGTGATTGACATTCGACATAATCAAAGTTAACCAGTGATTAAGATCCAACATAATCATGGTTAACCCAGTGATTTAGATCCAACATAATCATGGTTGAGATCCATCATAATCATGGTTAGCCCAGTGATTGACATTCGACATAATCAAAGTTAACCAGTGATTAAGATCCAACATAATCATGGTTAGGCCAGTGATTGAGATCCATCATAATCATGGTTAGCCCAGTGATTGAGATCCGACATAGTCATGGTTAGCTCGTTGATAGAGATCCATCATAATCATGGTTAGCCCAGTGATTGAGATCCAACATAATTACGTTAGCCCAGTGATTAACATTTGACATAATCATAGTTAATCAGTAATTGAGAGATCCATCATAATCATGGTTAGCCCAGTGATTGAGATCCAACATAATTACGTTAGCCCAGTGATTAACATTTGACATAATCATAGTTAATCAGTAATTGAGATTCGACATAATCATGGTTTACTCAGTGATTGAGATCCAACATAATCATAGTTAACCCATTGATTGAGATTCAACATAATCATGGTTTGCTCAGTGACTGAGAACAGACATAATCATGGTTTGCTCAGTGACTGAGATCCAACATAATCATGGTTTGCCCAGTGACTGAGATCCAACATAATCATGGTTTGCCCAGTGACTGAGAACTGACATAATCATGGTTTGCTCAGTGACTGAGATCCAACATAATCATGGTTTCCCAGTGACTGAGAACCGACATAATCATGGTTTGCCCAGTGACTGAGAACCGACATAATCATGGTTTGCCCAGTGACTGAGAACTGCATAATCATGGTTTGCTCAGTGACTGAGATTCGACATAATCATGGTTTGCTCAGTGACTGACATCCAACGTAATCATGGTTTGCTTAGTGACAGAGATCCAACATAATCGCGGTTTGCTCACTGATATAGATGCAATCATCATGTTTGGATGCTTTGAACACTATGAATGCTATTGTGATTCTTTTACTTAAATTTCATATTGATATGAGTATAAATACATGTTTAATTCTGTTGTTTACTTTCATGTCTGGATTTTATTGGCCTAAACCAAACTATATTATTTTAGTGTAATATGTCCACTTTTGTTGTTTGTTTTTTTTTTAAAGTACAGTCCAACCCCGTTTATTCGAAGTGCCTGGGACTGAATATTTACTTCGAATAATCGATGGGTTCGAATAATCGAAATCGAATATTGTGATAGACAAAAACTACTCCACTCTGACCAATCATAGCAAAACTACCGTTTACAACACACTTACTTCCTGTAATCAATTGAGAAAAATAAATATTAAAGAAAAGATGCGTAAAAATTATTGTATTGACATTGAAGACATAAATACTTGCATTTTATTCTACATTATGTATTGTTTCGTTTCGCGCAAAGCCTTGATAATGGCCGTGTTGTCACTACGGTATTTACAGCTAAACTCTGGTTTTTCCATTAGGATAAAGGCTTTCATGTAGCGTTACAATTAATGAAAAAAAATGTTTTGGATGTTTTGACAAATTTACATATACGGTATGTATGAAAATTATTGCTGTCATCTTCAAGCAATAACAGTATCAAAATCGGACACGGTGCATAGCTTTTCATTTGATTAAAGAACACACAAAGAATTATTATCATGATTGTCTAAATACACGCATGACTGTTGATATTTTTCACAAGTCGACCGGTCAGCGAGTGGATCTGCGCCAATTAGTCTGGCTTCGAAAAATAATTAGGCTGGCATTGAATAATAGGTGTGAAATTCTTTCGTAATTGTATAATCGGGACCGAAATTTTACTTCGAAAAATAGGATGTTTTCGGATAATGCATTTCGAATAATACCCTCGTATTTATATTGATTTATATAGAGATAAAAACGGGACCGCTGATCTACTTCGGATAATGCGGGGTATTCGAATAAAGGGTTGTCGAATAACCGGGGTCGGACTGTAGATGCACTTTTTATATGAAAGGAGGAAATTTCTAGAATCACACGGAAAGATTTTTTTTCTTGGTGGCTATTTGTGAACTTCCTAGTTGTTATTTATAATTATGTTAATTTCATAAATCATCAGTTAAAGTAACATACATGTATTTTCAGAACTTACCAATCTTGTTAACTTAAACAGTTAAAGTAGAAGTAAAGTGGAATAAAGTGTGTTATTGCAATTTATATTTTATGGATATTTTTTTGTCTACTTCCAGGTGTACTACAACTTGGTGGCCAAGAGTGGACATGTGTTTATATTAGAGTGAGTTGTTAATACCTGACCTGGATCACGGACATATAATTGAGATTAATAGATAATGTGTTATAATGCTTCAACCCTATCATCTGCATCATATTTGCATATAATATTTATCAATATCTGTTAATGAATAACAAATGTATCAGTGAGCCTGTACAGTCTGCTTCATCATCTCTAGAAGCTTCTTACATCCATGTAAATATACAACAATATAACAATATAAACACCATATTTCGGGGTATTTTTACTGAACTTAAAATTTCATATCCTAAGAGAATTTTTTACAGAAAAAATTTGGTTTCAATAAATAAATGATTATATTTTTAGATAAACTGTTAAGGTTTAAACTGTATACACCAATAATAATATTGAAATATTATTGAAATAAAGTACAAACTGGTAGAGATAAAGTTGTGATGGATTGAACACCTTTCTGAAGCTGAAATAATTGTGAAAGTGGATTTACAGAACAATAAGAACAAAAGTAGTTTGAATGTGATTCTAACATGAGAGGCATTATTGTGTGTATGGAGAAGACTACATCATTGGTAAGCCTGTTGTCCTATTGATCGGTGTTTGTCGTTTAAATAACTTGTAATCTGTCGACTCACTTCTCTGGCACTAACACATTGTGACCCGCCTTCATGGAAAAGTATATCGGCTTAAATAAATGCCATTGAAACTGCATGATTTCTTGGGAATTAAAAAAAAAGCGTAAAAATTTGCTTCTGCTTTTATTGGGAAATAAAATTAAGAACATAATGGTCAATGGATAGAGGACTATAAGCAATGGAATAAGATTAACCAGTAAGTTTTCCATAAGAGGAACTATCTCTGTTTCCATAGAAACACACAAATCTATATAATATGGAAAATTGTTGTGCAAACCACTGAACAATTTTTCTATCTGGTTACAGAGTGTGTGAGTGTGTGTGGAACCACAATATTGTCAAATTGGTGTGAAGTTGGATGATGTATATATGTATTTTTCAGTCCCACAAATATATCTTCTATAAATGTAGGAGGTGCAACAAGTCTAAAAAAATCTTCATATCTTTCTTTGGATGTTGAGCTTAAATGAATGGAAAACGTAAAACAGAATTAATTGGAAAGAATAGGAAAGTATGTGTTGCTATGAAACCTGATCAGATTTTATCTGTTGTATTGAATTTATAGTGGATTTGCTAGTTTAAAGTACAGGAATATAATTTTTGGAATACATGTCTCAGGTTAGACTTGTATTAGAGATATATACTTCATATAAGTATACATTGTTTTAATGTATGATATAAAACTCAATTACACAATTACATGTTTTATTCATGTATTTTTTTGGTCTGTTTTATAACCACCATTAATAGTGTAGTTAAAAGTATGGCAAATGACATAAAGTGATGTGGATTGTGAACACATAGTCACCAGTTAAATTTGATCAAGTCAAGGCAGACCTTTACACCAATAATCTTTACTTTATCCATGTTTGACATATTTCCTGTACTTTATTAAAACTATTATAGTTTTAATACAGTAAATAGTTGTGAGTATACTTTTAGAATTGACATTAAATATTTGTATATTGTAATGCATTTGATTATGATCATGCTGCAGTTCATGAGTTAATGAAATATATTATAATCAGTCACCACAGATCTTATTACAATAATGACACTTATAAGATATGTGCCAATTAACAACATATTTTACACATTTAATAATTTTGAAAGAACACACTTGGTCTTCTAAAATAATTAGAACAAAAGAGAAACAAAACATGACCTCACTCAATCACATTGAAAAATTTCTATTATTGAAGAAAAGTATAATAATAATTTATTGTGTGAGTAAAATTATATGAATGAGTAAAAATGTTTCCCCATCCTTATTGATTGTGAATAAAGTGGTCTGTTCCATCTGGGGTGTTTTCTGCATAGCTTAGAAGAACTAATTTTGTTTAACATTTATATAGATTGATAGTTGAAGGACTGTTTGACATTAATGAATATTGACTATTGTATTATGATGACTGACATTATTCAGTCATGTTAACTGTGATTAATTTATGTTGTAATTAAATCAATAGCATGACACTATAATGTCTAATTAGACAACAGTATTCATCTTAATGGGTTTACTTCTTTGTTCAATCTCATGTTATGATAATAATTTAAGGGTGATCAGGAAGGCATATGGTAGAGGCAGTTTGATATCCTTTGTCTCCACATCATGTTTTTAATAATACTTTCTTAGAATTGTACCTTACTGCGTTCTAAAATTTACGACAGTTGTACATTGCCGATCTGTTTATCTTTGCTCTATTAATTTTCTGTCTGTTTATCCTTACTAACAATGACCAATCTGTATATCCTTGCTATCAATGACCCATCTTTCATCCTCATAATCAAAGGCCTATTTGTTTATCCTCATTATCAATGGCCTATCTGTTTATCCTCATTATCAAAGGCCTATCTGTTAGTCCTCATTATCAATGGCCCATCTGTTTATCCTTATTATCAATTACCCATCTGTTTATCCTCATTATCAATGGTCAATCTGTTTATCCTCATTATCAATGGCCAATCTGTTTATCCTCATTATCAATCTGTTTATCCTCATTTTCAATGGCCAATCTGTTTATCCTCATTATCAATTACCCATATGTTTATCCTCATTATCAATTACCCATCTGTTTATCCTCATTATCAATTACCCATATGTTTATCCTCATTATCAATTACCCATCTGTTTATCCTCATTGTCAATGGCCAATCTGTTTATCCTCATTTTCAATGGTCCATCTCTTTATCCTCATTCCTATCCAGCCAGCTTAGGGAACATCGATGGTCCTACTCAGGTGCCTGTTTGTACCTGAAATAACGCACGGAGGGGCACCCGAGGTCTTCCTCCACCAGTAAAGCTGGAATGTTGCGATATAACCTATACTGTGACGGTGTGATGTAAAACCCGATCAAACAAACAAACAAACAATTATCCTCATTATCAATTACCCATCTGTTTATCCTCCTCATTACCAATGGCCCATCTGTACATCTCTCCCTACCAATTAACCATACCTCAATAGTGGTAAAATTATGCATTCCAGTTGTTATTGTCAGTCAACTTTGGTAAGAGTTTTGTTCTAATTATTGACCCATGTTTTTATGACATTAAGAATGAGTTATGGTTGTTGCTCATTGATAGGTGTAAAATTTGTCAGATTATGTATATGTGTTTCTTTATTGGATGGTAACAAAAGATTATTTGTAATAAGAAACTTAATTGCTTTAATGAATTTGTTGATTATAAACAATATTTTTAGATAATTTAAGTTTAGCTGTTTGTTTTTTTCTTGAATGTTTTGTTGTTTGTAAATTCTGCTTACGTTCAATTGAATACTGACACTCAGAACCATAAGTAGTCTCATTAGTGGGGTTCTACTGTACTAATTCTATCAGTTGTCAGCCAAATGGTTTATATGATTCATCTGTTGATATTTACTGTGTAAGTTGTTCTTTACTGTATTTGTTGTCCATAAGTCCATCTTGACTGTATCATTTGGCCATGTGTTCCTACCTATAACTTTATCCTCTTTGTTTCTTTTATCCAATTGCTTAACATACTCTATCAATTGTCAGTAATGGAATGGTTAGTATGATTGAGGTAAGAATCATTTGTCACTTAATACTGTAAGTTCAAATCCTGCCAGGGCTTTTCTTCATCTGATAGTGCTATCTGGCTATTGAAGGTTTACTCTTTGGACCCACCTGTATATAAAGTTATATATGTAGAGGTCAACCGAGGTTTCCCTTTGTAGAGTTTTAAGCAGCCAGTTAATATTTAAGATTAGCCAGCAATGAAACACTTTTGAATGATTTAAATGTATTATCATTTGTATTGTTTGGCACACTGAAAGGAAGCTGTTGGTAAATTCTGCAATTTAACAGCAGTTAATGTTTTACCTGCCACAGAAGGAGAGCATTGCTAAAAATGAGCCGTATCAAAAAACCATGTACTTTAAAAATGTCATTCCCTTAATATATGGCATCACCAGGCCTGGAGAACAATTTATAAACTAAAGTAGGAAACACTTTTGCTCATATATGAGCATCCCATAACTTCAGTACCAGGCATTAGGTAAACTTTAGATGATTTTGATCAGCTCATTATTTGAAATAAGGAAAATTAGAGATGATTATATCAGACCATACTGAGTAAGGAAAACTTCCTCATGATATTATTTTACTGTTGTGGGTTTAGTTACTTCCTGTAAGAAGCACAGAAGTCTAAAAGCCATGACCAGGTAAGATTGAATGAAGGGCACTTTTCCTTGCCAATTTGGATCATGATGATAGTCTAACATGATTGGTCCACCACACCATGCCTGATCTAAGTGGATAGTTTATATTTCGTTTTTGTAGAACTTGGCAGTCTGGGACAATGGTGCTTTGCACTGTCTGTCTGTTTGTCTGTCTGTCCAGTGCAGTCTTGTCAGCCCTTTATTTCACAACCACTTGTCTTATATGAATGAAAAATCCACTTAAGTGATTGTCATCAAGCCTAGTTGTGCATAATTATTGTTTGCATGTTTCATTTAGATGCAAACTTCCAATTTGGCTCTATTGAATGTTGTTTAAATAGTGGGATAGGAAAAACATTCATCATATTTGGGAACTGCAAGGAATAGCAGTGACATGCCAGTGATTTTTTCCTAAAACAAGTGTCTGCTCATCACATGATTTGTGCTCACTTAAAGTGGATAGGTCTTCAATGGGTACATTTACCATAAGTTTTTCAAATATTCAAAAAAAACAAAAACAATAGAAATCTATCATTTAGATATTCTGAAAAAAAATGTTAAAGTTCTAAGTGTTTTAGAATGAACATTAATATTTATATGATGAACAATAGTATTTTGTTCTAAACTGTTTTATTATCTGCTATATCAATGTATTTAATATCAAATTATGTATCTCATATTAGCCAACAACTTCCATGTATAATTCTTGCATAGTAAGTTGTTATGTCTAATACAAAATACTGATTGTATTACAGACCTTCCATTTTAGACCAATTCACTTTAACACAGGTCCTTGACCAGAGGAACACTTGGCCAACATTCTTTTTCAGATAATTGCTTCCAAACTATGTCTTGTTGACCCTTCACCATGTTTGATTAATCAGTTTTGTTTTATCAATTATATTTATGTAGAAAACAATTTTGTCTATCATAATAATATGTATGGAAAATGTCTTCCACACATGTTGATCATTTTCTGGTGAAATTTGGATTATCTATTTATAGAGATATATAGTTTATTTAGAGTACTAATACTAGACCAATCAGTCTTGAATCTGGGTTTGTTTTTACTTTGCTATTATTTGTGATGGCTAATCTAATTTAGCTTAACTATTTGGAGATTGTACTCACCTTGACTTGGGCATCGTCATCAAGCTTTGCCTGTAAGTCAATATCTCCAGAACAACTTAAGGGAATTTGTTGAAAATTCACACACTTATTAGAAGGTAACTTTCAAAGGCTCATGACTCAATCTTGAATTTAGACTTATAATGGCCCTTATTGAACTTTGAAAATTATATATTTTCCAAGCTATCATGTTCTCAGAATATTCAAACACACTGTCCTACTGACAGCTCTTGTTGCATTTATTTGTTACATACATAAATAATTTCAAACATAAATATTTTTGTAGGTTATATGGGAAACATGAGGCATGAAGTCAGCTTGAAGTAAGGTGAATTTTGTACCCTTCATAGACAAGAGCATTGACCTGCTAGAATATAAGCAAACTGGAAGCTAACTAAGAGTTGTTTCCCATGAAAGCAAGGGAGATAATCTAGTTTTATGGAAGCCCAAATATGTGAATTGAGTTACTTCTATTAAAAGAAGAGGAATAGATTTGAATTTTCCTGGAAGCCAACAATTGGTGATTCAAAGGATCTTCCATGAAATCAAGGGATTTAATTTAGTGTGGTCAAAGGTGATTTGACCGTTCATGAGGAGAAGAGAGAAGAAAATACCATACAACAATGTCTTTTCACTGGCAGAAACTGAGTCCTGGAGAATTTCACCAGCTTCAGGAATATACATCATGTAAGTAACAACAAAGTTTACCATGTGTTTGAGCATCTGAAAGGCATATATTGTTTCTATTATCTTTTGTTTTAAGTGATCAACTCCTTTTGCTGATGTCACAAGTTTCACATAATTTATAAAATATTTCAGGTATTCAAATTTGAAGTTTGAATTATATACTGTATATTGGTTTTTGTCAGGTAGATAATTTTTCGCTATATATGCATTGAACATTTGCGAAAGACAGATTCACTAAATTTTACTTCAATTTAATACAGGGGTTCTGCAAGTTGATTTACTTCTTTAGATTTAAGACCCAGTTTAGTCATATATATTACATGTGGTACCTAGATATCAATGTATCAAATACCAGTATTACATATATTACAGGTTATTCAATATTAAATGTTCTTTTCTTTAAAATCTACATCAAAAAAGTTATGTGACAATGTGAGCAACAGGTATTTTAGTACGTTTTACCAACTAACTGTTCACACCTTGCATATAGGTGTACAAATATAGGCAGCTTAACAATAACATGTTAACAATAAGGTGAGAGGAGGTAAGTGTGAAATATCGAATACTATTCAGTAAACAATACAGCAATAAGAAAATTGAAAACAAAGTTTCAGGTGTAAAAATAATAAATGTCAGAGAATAGAGTGCTGTCTCTTTGTTAGCGGAAAAAACGTGAAAAAAGAAACATGTACAACAAAATTGCTAAAGTTAGATTCGCTAAAATTAAATTACTGCCAAAACTTCAAATTTTACCATTCTAGAAAATAACTTGACGTACGGTATATGTATGTTGAAAGGTCAAGATGAAAGTATTTAGCTCTCCAGAGCTCTGTCCAAATGTACATCCTTAAAATTTGTAACCAGTGACCAGAATTTTCCAAAACAGGAACCTTCACTTACATTAGGAGTGTTCATATAAGCAGCATTTTTATGCCCCCACAAAGTGGGGAGCATATAGCGTTGCACTTGTCCGTCCGTCCGTATGTCTGTCCGTTCCAACATTTTGGATTTAGGGGCTATTTTCTTTGTTATTTTCTTTGTTTTCATAAGGGCTACTAGCCCATAAACCCTTTGATCACGGAATGAACCTATTGTTGATGTTCTCTTTTGTTCTCTTTACTGTTATATAGCCCCTAAACCCAAAATGTTTACCCAGAGGTACTTGTGTGACTTGGAGAACAATGGGTAACAGTAAATTCTCTTTGATCCTATTCATTCCGTTTTTACTTGTGTGTCTTTTTTTAAGCCTTGTGTGACTAAAAATGGCCGAAAAGATCAAAGGAAAAGTCACATAAGTACCATTTTGTGAGTACGTACGTCCGTCCGTACGTCCCGAAATCTTGCGAACGCAACTCCTCTTAAACCGGATGGCAGATTTTGCTTAAACTTCCAGGGATGAACAACCTAAATGTGTAGATGGTAGTAAAGGAAGGAATTTTTGCTGCAACCAAATTTAACAGAATTATGGCCCTTTGTTAATTTTTTCACCATATACTATGTAGAAATTTTGTGAACGCAACTCCTCTTAAACCGGATGGCAGATTTTGCTTAAACTTCCAGGGATGAACAACCTTAATGTGTACATGGTAGTAAAGGAAGGAATTTTTGCTGCGACCAAATTTAACAGAATTATGGCCCTTTGTTGATTTTTTCAATATATACCATATAGAAATTTTGTGAACGCAACTCCTCTCAAACCGGATGGCAGATTTTGCTTAAACTTCCAGGGATGAACAACCTTAATGTGTAGATGGAAGTAAAGGAAGAACCCTTGTATAAAATATCTTATTTTAAAAATGAATCAACAACATTAATAATATACAGGACTCCTAAATTCCTTTGCAGCTGCAGAATAAAAAGTTCCACATAAAAATCTTACATACAGATATGCATGCTCTTGTTTAGGAGCACATCTGCACAGTGGTGGCATCCGTGTCCTTTGGACACAGTTCTAGTTCTGATAAATCATGACTTCACAAATTAATTCCCCTGCAAAGCCTAACTTCACAGTTTGATTTGAAACATAAGTTTTGCCCTGGCTGTATGACATCATTATTATGCAACATGAAATGAGTAGAGGTTACTGTCATCACCACTCTTGCATTACAACTAAAGCCCCCATAGTCACACATTAAAAGGTACTCGTTTTGATTTTCATATTAAATGTTAATGATATGACCATTTAGATGAAATAACGTTGACTAATCAAAATATCCTAATCATTACCTGTAATCTTGAATTTAATCAATTCTCATTGATTTATTATTCCCTGAAAAACAAGATGATACATACTCCAAAGCTTTCTAAACAAAGAAGCTCACATTTTTTTTATGCTCCCCGAAAAATTTCTGGGGAGCATATAGTCGGCGCCTTGTCCGTCTGTCCGTCCGTCCGTCTGTCCGTCCGTTTTCTTGTCCGGAGCATAACTTGAAAAGCCTTGGAGATAATTTGTTTAAACTTCATATAGTGGTAGAGGGCATTGAGAGGGAGTGCAGTGTCAAAGAACCATAACTCTATTTTGCCCGGTTTTTGAATTATCTCCCCTTATAGAAAAATCTTGTCCGGGGCATAACTCTAAAACTATAAGAGATATCAACATGAAACTTTGTAGGTGAATAGATCTCAATGGGTAGATGTGCAGTGCATAAGAACAATAACTCTTTTTGTCCTAATTTTGGAGTTATTGCCCTTTGTTAATTTCAACACTTTGAACTTTGTCCGGAACATAACTCTAAAACTATAAGAGATATCAAGATGAAACATTGTAGGTAGATAGATCTCATTGAGTAGAAGTGCAGTGCAAAAGAACCATAACTCTGTTAAGCCTCATTTTTGAATTATCTCCCCTTATAGAAAAATCTTGTCCGGGGCATAACTCTAAAACTATAAGAGATATCAACATGAAACTTTGTAGGTGAATAGATCTCAATGGGTAGATGTGCAGTGCATAAGAACAATAACTCTTTTTGTCCTAATTTTGGAGTTATTGCCCTTTGTTAATTTCAACACTTTGAACTTTGTCCGGAACATAACTCTAAAACTATAAGAGATATCAAGATGAAACATTGTAGGTAGATAGATCTCATTGAGTAGAAGTGCAGTGCAAAAGAACCATAACTCTGTTAAGCCTCATTTTTGAATTATCTCCCCTTATAGAAAAATCTTGTCCGGGGCATAACTCTAAAACTATAAGAGATATCAACATGAAACTTTGTAGGTGAATAGATCTCAATGGGTAGATATGCAGTGCTTAAGAACAATAACTCTTTTTGTCCTAATTTTAGAGTTATTGCCCTTTGTTAATTTTTACACTGAACTTTGTCCAGAACATAACTCTTAAATTATAAGAGATATCAAGATGAAACATTGTAGGTAGATAGATCTCATTGAGTAGAAGTGCAGTGCAAAAAAAAACATAACTCTGCTAAGCCTCATTTTTGAATTATCTCCCCTTTTAGAAAAATCTTGTACTGGACATAGCTGTAAAACTATAAAAGATATCAACATGAAACTTTGTAGGTAGATGTATCTCAATGGGTAGATGTGCAGTGCATGAGAATCATAACTCTACCTTGCCTAATTCTTGAGTTATTGCCATTTGTTTATTTTTACTTTTTGAATTTGTCCGGAACATAACTCGGAAACCATAAGAGATGTCAACAAGAAACTTTGTAAGTTGATAGATAACAGTGATTAGAAGTGCAGTGGAAAGAACAGTAACTCTGCCTTTCCTAATTTTGGAATTATTGCACTTTGAACTTTTTCCAGGGACATAACTCTGAAACTACAAGAGGTGTACTTTCCTGTGTCAAAAACCTATTCGGGGAGCATCACCCGGCTCAAACCGGGCTCTTGTTTAGCTTACCAGTGAGTTTTAGGATCGTTTAATGTCCATCAGCCATCGGCTGTCATCTGTCCACATTTACAATGTAGTTTGTTAACACTCCAGTTGTCACATTTTTATATGCCCGAAAGAATTTCTGGCATATTATGTTATACCCCCAGGCGTCCGTCGGTCTATCTGTCTGTTAGCAATTTGGTTTTCGGAGCATAACTTAAGTTCCATTTGGCCCACAATATTCAAACTGCATAGGATGATTGTCCATATTGGGTAGAAGACCCTTATTGATTTTGGGGTCGAAAGGTCATGGTTACTATTACCTTAAAACTGAAAACAGTTTCCGGAGCGTAACTTAAGTTCCATTTGGCCCACAGTGTTGAAACTTCATAGAATGACTGTCCTTATTGGTTATAAGACCCCTATTGATTTTGGGGCCACAAGGTCAAATGTCAAGGTCACTATTACCTAAAACCTGAAAACAGTTTCCGAAACATAACTTTAAGTTCCATTTGACCCACAGTGTTCAAAGGTCAAGGTCACTATTACTTTAAAACTGAAAACAGTTTTCAGAACATAACTTAAGATCCATTTGGCCCACAGTGTTCAAACTTCATAGGATGGTTGTCCATATTGGGTAGAACACCCCTATTGATTTTGGGGTGACAAGATCAACATTCAAGGTCACTATTACTTTAATACTGTAAACAATTTCCGGAGCATAACTTAAGTTCCATTTGGCCAACAATATTCAAACTTCATAGGAGGATTGTTCTTTGAAGAAGGTAATACTTTATTTAATTCCCATGTCTTACAAATGCTTCATCCTTACTAAAAAATGCAAAAAAAACAACACTTTCAGGCACATAATGCTCCGCCTAGAAGTACTCTTGTTGCCTCTATTGTCACTAAACTTGGTGAGGGTGTTTGTCGCAAGTAATTGCTTAGACTAGTTCTAACATGGGTCATCTCAGATGAAAAACTATCTAGAAACCATCTAACATTAATTTCCTTTTACCTAGCTGGTATGGTTGAATGTTATTTTTCAGAGGTAAAATTTTGTAAAAGCTATGTATTTTGAGTCGTTTAAGACTGATACGCCTTTCATGTTTTAGACACACCAGAACTCAAAACAGAAAAAATATTTCGACGAAGACTGCTTAAAATTCCAAAACAAAAATGGGTATATATAGAGGAAAGTCAGGAGGGTAGAATTACATTTCTCTTTCTCAGTAAAAAAGTTTATATACATGTTTAAAAGGTTTAAAACCTATTTTTCGTTTCACATATGATGTTATAGTGCACATCTGGATCAGCTGGAATTCACAGATAGTTTTTACAAATGCTCAATTATAAGATTCATATGGGGTAAGCGGCGCCAGGGTTAAACCCCCTACCCGCCTGCCATCCCCTGTATAACACAATTATGTTCTCATGCATATTTCACAAAGGTCATGTGACACATGACCTTTGTGAAATATGCATAAGAACATAAATTCGTAAGTAAATACTCACTCTAAATTTCCAATGGACACATTTTGTGATATAAGGTTTACTGATGTGAACTTCATTAAGATAAAGAACAGAACCATGCAATATTAATGTGAGAACAATTCTCTTTTATGTACTTTGTAATCTTTCAAGCCATTTTTCATTCTGTGTTTCAAATCAAACATGAAGTGTCAAACTATGTCCAATGTGTTTAGCTGTTGTATGAGATATGATATGTATTTTGTGATAGCCATTTCTATATAAGGAAATTAATATTTGTATGACGTAAATTGCTGATAAAAACATTTTGATTTATTACATAGGCATGACCATAATCGCTTTTTTTGTTGCTGATAAGATTTTGTGTTCATTAAAGTGTGTTAGATAACAAACAAGAGCATTACTTGATCTTGTGAACTGATTGAATTCTTAACATTAAACATACTGTTGATAAGAAGGCACATTATTTGCTGCATGTCATGTGAAAAAAAGTTGTCAGAAACAGGGTGGGCAGGGGGGAATATAACAAAATGACGCTTTGGTTCAATTACTAGCCAGTGGCAAGCTTGCAATATATGCTTGTGACAAGCTTGCAAAGTTAGCTTGCGATTATGGTTTGGGTGACGCTTTGGTTGTTAATATGTGACTTGCCCCATTACACTCATTTCATCTATTTTTGACAGTACCCTATTTACCCTTTTACATTTGTTATTTTCCTCTTTATCATAAATTGGACAAACTTTTGATGTTCATATGTATAATCATCAATGATATATTGAGATAAGGCAGTGTTTCATCAAGCCCACAAAATGGTAATAAATATTTATAGGTAAGGAAGTACAATTATTTTAGCATTTTCTCCTTCATGATCAACAGTCTTGTAAAAAGTTACTGATAAATGAAAAACTAATCAAATTGTCTAGTTTCTTTAGGCTTGTTGATGCCATTTTTGGGTGTGATCATAATTCACTGTTTTTACTTCTGATACTTTTTATAGCAAATCAGGTATATAATTAGATTTTTCTCTGGAAATGTGATGGCCATTTATTATAGTTAGGAGACAGGCAGGGAATTACAATTGAAAATTGCTTGTGTTTCAATGATTAATAATGTTGAGTAAAGCACATCTCTTGTTGTTCCATTTTAAACCACACATTCTATGGTATCATTTATAACTGAGTTTTTGATTTAAATTGCAACTGTTAAACATATTTAACATCTAAAAAATAATAAATGTACTTAGGGATATTGGTTTTGAGAAATACATGACTCTTATTGATTATGTGGTCAAAGGTATAGGTCACATTGACTGTATGTCAAAACAAATTCCAACCAATTACTTGACAACTCCCATTGGCCCTTTAACTTCACAAGTGCATTAGTCTTCCAAGGCCAGTAGATGACCTCTATTGATTTGGAGTTGTAGGGTCAAATGTCAAGGTCACGTTGACTGTGTATGTCATAATAATTTCCGACCAATAACCCTTGTGCCCTCTAACTTCACAGGTATCCTACTATGAATCATTTCCATAATTAAATGACAAAGTTAAGAAAATATAAGCAAAAGACAATCATCATTCTGATCTTGATGGTCAAGTTCATTTAATGGTAAAGGTCATATCTGAATTAATCAACATGACCATTGAGTCTAAAGTGTTGTTTTTTCCACATACTAATCAAATCTATACATAAATAACAAAATTATGACAACTAAACCGAAATTCAATAATTTGACCTTGACAAGGAAGGTCGTTTAAAGCTCAAGGTCAATGTCAATTTAACCTTTTAGAAGGTTTTATCCAAAAGGTTGTTTAGTCCAAGTGTGAAGATAATCCATTTATTAATTACCAAGTCAGTTATAGCAAAATCCAGTGAAAATTCAGAAATTTAACATTCAAGGTCAAGGTCATAAACAACAAGTGTGACTAAACAGTCCTATTGATATAAAAAAATTAAGATTTTTTTTTTCTTTAACCCTTTATTTGTTTGCTTTGAGAAAAGGTAAAAAAAGTCAAATGTTGCCCTTCCCAGCAGTGGCTTGTTTTGTATTTTCAGTCAGTCTGTCTGTCTTACTGGGCAAACATCTACAGAAATTTGAGTAAGCCCTCTTATAATGATATCACTTATAAAGATATACTGCTTATAACAATGTTGTGGCTGCGGTCTTCAACTCTTGAGCGGTACTTCGGATATAAGGACGCTACTTTTCTTTCCCATGCGCAACCTTTCAATTTTTAATGTGATATTTTTTTGTACTGTGTGAAAAGGTGTAAATGACCATTTATGACCAACCAGAGATTTTGCTTTAAGCATTAATGACAGTTACTTGAATATTTATGATAAAAGTCTCAAATTATCAGGCAGTAAGCAAACCAAATCACTTTAATACAAATGATTAATTGGTTGAGTAATAACTCCTGTTTATGTGATCAGTTAGATATTAAAACAAAATATAAAATTTTGGACTCCAAAGATATTTTATTTTACATCTATCAAACACCTCCATTCTTGTTTGTTGCCTCCCGAATATAATGATTTTTGGATATAATGATATAAATTCTTAGGTCCCCTGAATATTATTATAAAAGGAGTTTACTGTATTGGTTTGTTAGCTTCATTCTGTCAATAATATGAGTAAACAAACAAAAAACAGAAACCACATAAGTTACCATTGGCTGAAGTTGTAATTTTGGCTTGTTTATTAAAAGATAGAGCCCACAAATGAAAAATGGTTGTCCATCCATCTGTCCTCTTTTTGATTGGTGAATACCTTTGTCATTCATGGATGGATTTTGAAATAATTTTGCATAAATGAATGACACTTTGAGTCAGTGGGATCCACTTGCATTAATTGTTGTGTGGTGTGAACAATTTTGTCATCCTTAGATGAATTTTAAAATTACTTCCTATAAATATGTTGGATATGATGACAGTATGCCACACCTGCTCAAAGGTCAAGGTCACACTTAATAACTTCAGAGGAAATTTTCATAATTCTTTTCTTCACCTTTTTGGATTCATGTACACTTTAATTTTAAATAGCTACACTTACATGTGAATTCCATGGTATGGAAGGACATTTGTAACAATTAAATAAACTTGCCTTAGATCACTTTACCTTTATTCCGGATGTGTGTTTTCTGTATAGTATAATTATGTTTGAAACTTAGTCTATAAATGTAATATTATACATGCAGGTAGAAATAGCGATATATGCTGTATAAAGCATGAAATGATAATTACAATAAAAGCTGTATTGAGTAAAATCCTTTTTAGTCATGCAATAATGTCATTATTATATTCCATTATTATGTTTCATCATTATGTTACATGCTAACAACTTCTTTATCTTTATTTAGTTTTGCGGTATTAAGTATCCTGTTATTTGATTTTATATAATATTCATGTTCATACATCAGATATTGTATGTCTTGTAATAATATCATCAGTTTTCCCTATATGTAGGTCTATATTTTGTAAATATTAAAAAAAAAAGCAACTGCTCTTCCAAAACTACATGGACTTAAGCATAAAACATTATCTAGTGGAAATATAAATAGTTTTGGGCCCAAATTGGACCCACACACCAGATGGGGAGGTAGGGGGGTCATGTGTTTCCCTGTTATGTTTATAGTAAAAACTTATTATCTTTCATTCAGCAAATGCATGAATGCAAGAGAAATGAAATATGTTTAATTAATGGACCAAGTTTTGTATTTTGTGGTGGCGATACATAGCATTTTTTCACAAATGCAATCTTGTTGTGTTTTTATTTAACCCTTTACCTCATATAGACGTGTTTTGACGGCTTTTCGCCCCCCCCCCCCTTTTTGAGGCCTCAAACAGTGAAAAAATGCCCTATTTAGGCCCCAAACACTGTTTTTCGTTTGAGAAATGTTGATAAAAAATGACCACTTTTTCGGCACCACCCCCATGGGGGATGTGCCCCCTTCTGTTTCGGGGGTTTGGAGGGCCTCATCGCCAAGAAAATTTTGGACATGTGACAGGCTAAAAATGGCCTCAGGTCGATCGTAAGGTAACATGTAATCAAAGCTAAAAAGAGAAGTTGAAGCACTTTTAAATCAGTTTTGATGGAAAAAAAAACAATGCAAAATAGTGATTTTTGGCAATTTTGAGAGGTCCTCCTGTTGCCAATGTTACAGGAAGTTTAAGATTGAGCATGCTCTTACAGAGGCGTTAACTTTTGTGCCAAGTTTCATCAGTATTGAAGCATTTGTCATAGTTTAATAACAGTTTGAACTTGTTACAGGAGGCTTTTCAATGAAAATGGCCATTTTTCACAATATGCTCATGAAGAAAAGGGTTAATAAAATGAATTTTCTTATTAGGTTCAGTATTAGCTGTATTGTATCACAATTTCAAACAGATTAAAATAACTACATAATTATATTTGTCATGTAAATATTCTGTTTTTCAGATTCTAACAAGAAGTTGAAAGATGTACTGGAAGAGTTCAATAATAATGGAGTTCTATCCAAGTACAACCCAGAGGAGGTAAATACATTTCTGTTTATACTTCATGATTTCTCGGAAAAGTTATCGGGTCATATTTTCACCTTGACAAATGTTGTTTACACTTTACTTAGAGGCTGCATTTGTAGCTATGGAGGGAAGTACTTTGAGGAAAATGAACATGAAAACAATAAGTCAAAAACTGGCAGACTAGGTTTCTTGAATCTGTTTAGGAGAAATAATAGAAACTACTAGTAACATCTCTCACCCCCTCCACTTTCCTGGCACAAACTTGAGAAGTATTTAATCCATTTTATGCTCAAACTCAACATAGCACAAAATGACCAGTTACTGCAGTCACACTCACATGTTTTTGTGTGTATCTTTGTGAGGCAAAATTGGCAAGAGGACATATTTGCAAGGTACTATAACATCAAAATTTACAAATTGTCAATTATAACTATTGTTCAGTGCAATTCAGCAGCTCTAAAAATACCTATTATATAACAGACACAGTTAACATTAAAAAATTGTTTCAAAATTTTTAATGCATTAGTGCTTTGTAAAGCACCAGTCCTAGAGGTGTGCTGGTATAATAGGTTTGTTTAACCTTCCCGATGTCCCTCTTCTGGCTGATACAGTGATTTCCATTTTGGTATGATTATACTAAAGGAGAATTTAAACCTTATTTGCAGTGCAGTGGAAATTTTAGGGATTTAACCAGTTGTCCACTAAGGCTGGAAGTTTACCGCTGAAGTCAGCCCCGGAAATTTAGTTTAACCCTAAACAAAAAGAGTAAAGAGAAAGATAGACTTTGTAGAGTTTGATTGTTTCATTGTATTTACTATCCTCACCAGGTAATCAAAACTTGTTGCCTGCCATAATTTCCAATACATGTCACACTGTGTCCAATTTATTTTTCTTTGACAAGTCTATTTATAGATTTTCCATCTGCAAAAAAGCTGAGTCTCAAATTTCGTTTCCATAGAAACAGAATAGCATTGATGATTTACATTAAATGTACAGGCACAATTGTTTAGTACAAAAATGACAATGTCATTACCATTATTAAAGGTCATTTTGTTTATCATTGTATATGCTGGTTATATCTGATTGTTTATAAATGTCATTCATAATTGTATATCTTTCTACTATTGCTATTGATAAAAGTTTGCCTCATTATGTCTCTACACAGCCAACAAGGGAGAGAGACTGTGAGTTAGATCCTGCAGCTAGATAACAAATATGTTTTATCACTTCCCTTGTTTTTTCTATCATGTAAAACCATTTAATATTTTTCATAAGCTTTACCACAACTGAGGTGTTACTATACAAGTGGGTGTTCTTTAAAACATTGAATGAACATTGATATAACATGCATTTTCTCAGAAGCATTTAGTTGGTCCTTGGGCTGCTACACCTAAAATAAAATCTCTTGTCATTAAGAAATGCATTGATCATTATCAGGTTTCTTTATTGTATTGTTTTTATTTCAGCGACATTTAAAATATATTCCCATGGTATATAAAGGTTAAAATCATTACCTAACTTGCTCTATAGGCTCTTTTGATGGTCCTCAATCAAGTTAAGGCATATTGATATGGTCCACCCCTTTAAGGAGCTGCTCAATATAGAAATTTCTGTCAAAAGATTCCTTGTGTGGACTATTTAAGATATTATCAACAAATTTAATTAAATGCTCTCTCAGATGTTTCAGTGATGTTAATTTATTTGGTTGAACTCTATATATATATATATATATATATATATATATATATATATATATATATATATATATATATATATATATATATATATATATATATATATATACATTTGTTTATGAACAAAATGACTGTATGCTACTATAGTCAAATGATAGGTGTAACTTTACATTATTAATAAGACTGTTATAAAATCATATTATTACATGTATTTTCTTCTTATGCTGATCAAATAATTATATTTGTAAGATAAATGTAGCTAGTTTTTAAACCCTCTTTTGTGTTTGGGTTTTTGTTGCACAGTATCGTTGAATGTATAGTTTATGAATCTATTTCAGCCAATTGATTATGAGGGATTTCATCTGTTCATGGAGACCTACCTGGAAGCTGATATTGGTGAAGATTTGTGTAGGCATTTATTCTTGTCTTTTAATAAAAAATCGCCCACAGCTCTCCTACCACAAGGCGGTGGTAACAAGGAGTTTGGTGTTAAAGATGTTGCTGCAGTAGCGTCTCAGACTGTTTGTGCACCAATAACTCATCAAACAACAGAGATACATGTAGACAATAAACAGGAGAGAAGTGGATTAGCAGAAAAACTTCATGGAATAACAGAAAAATTACACAGTCTCGGCCATAGTGGAGATAAAGGTAAACTTATATGCAAATACTAGATATTAAACATTTATGACTTGTAGAATTATTCGACATAGATTATGAATGTTAAAAACTGCAAACCATTGCACAAGAATATTGTACATGCAGGAGACAAAATGGCTGGGTATTGTTATGATTTTGAATATTTATGAAGGTTGTTTGCAAAGTCTTATTATAAATGTTGAACTCTGTTATGATATTTTGTATTGTCACAAAATGTGGTAATTTCTGAAATTTAAAGGTAACATTATGGTGCTCTACAAAAGTCAAATAGGTCATGCCTGGGGGTCAAAATTAGCCTTGCCCTTGGTACATAAACATACTGAACAACATTTAGATTCTCTTGTGTGAAACTACATGGCAGCTTCAAAATTTGGCATTGAGCATTGCTATGAGGACCTACATTATGTCCCTTAGGTAGAACATGACCCCCACCATGGTGTAAGTTTTGTAAAAAATCTGTCATTCCTGAAATTACTGGTAGTCAAATACATGAATATTTTGTCAATTTATGTAAACTTTGCCATCATCATGAGCTTGCTGTAATATATCATGATTTATCAGATATAATCACATAAACCACGATGCAGGAGTGTAATAACATTTTCACATGACGTCATTTGCGTTATATATAAACATAGCGTTAAAGCAAGGTAGTATTAGTATTACACTATAGGCGTGTCAATGAAAAATGACTCTTTTTAACAGTCTACCATTCTTATTTTATATATATGATAAATAGAATATTACATTAGTGTAGATTCAATACTAAATTTATTGAACTCACTTATTAAAAGAATATTATGCTGGCATAATGTTATTTTATTTAACTTGTTCAATAAATTTAGTATTTAATCTACTCTCATTAAATATCCTCTATATATTCAATGATTAAGGTAACAAACATATAGAAATTGTTGGTGGGATACACTGTAGTAAAATAATATATATACTGATGTATGTAATATTACAGGAATGGCATCAAACCCAGCCATAGAAAAAGCTCAATCCAGTGATAAAGATTATGATGCATCAAACCACTCCAGATCATCATCTAAGAAATCCGATCATAGTATCCACAGTGTTGTTAATGGTTGGTATCATTTAAAACATTCTCCATTATTTTTTTAGCTTGATATTGCTACAGTCGCTATTGCTACAGTCGCTATTGCTACAGTCACTATTGCTACAGTCATGTTATTGTTGACATTGTTTGTTGATGCTATTGCTGTCACACAGCTTTAATGTTGAATATATATTTTTACATCTGTATTTATTAAACCAACAAGAGGAAATTGAAACTATCTGTCTGAAATCTTAATCATTATAAGACAAGGCGGAGATTGTAGGTTTGACTTCCCCTACGTCTAAGGTCACACTTAGTCATTATGTATGAATTTCAATGCCCAGAGCTTAGATATTTGGCATATAGCATCAATTTGTATTCTTTTACAAAAGTTATTTTAATCATTAGGTCTAAATTGGCCCTGCCCCGAGAGTCACTTGCTTATGTAGAATGATGTATAGGAAAACATGTATTTTTGTGTGGAAAACTATGCCCAAAGCTCATATATTTAGCTTGTACATGTAGCATTCATTGCACTGCAGACTTCTACAAAGATGATAGGATTCATTAACTTTTTTATTTAAACAACATCTCCTAATAACAGTGGACGACAGAGTGAGTCGAAAAAACACAATCATCTAGGATAAACATATAGGGTTAAAAAGTTTCTAGATGACTCAGAAGAAAATAGTTACACAAGTTCATATTCTATAAAGTACTGTAAACAATTGTTACATTGTACATACAGAAAGTCATTCAATTTAGCTTGCCTCAATTGGAATATTTTATTGTGTCCTATAAATAAAACCGACCAGATCGACTGTAATCTAATAAAATTGTACGTTAACTGATTGATACTTTCTGGAGGATAAATTGTGCACTTATCTCCATCAATTCGAAGACCTTCATTTCAATCTTCTATTTTCTTGATGTTTCGCTAGCGTCTATCAATCAAATGTATTGTAGATTACAAGTCTTGTGGACAGATCTTCTAAACTTACATGCTTTTAGCATTGGTTCTTGATCAACTAGAAAGCATAATAAATGTTTCCTGGGGAAATCTGATTTATTTGGAAACATTGATGGTAACAAAGACTGATAGCTAAGCTATATAAGGGTCATTGACAGACATGTTTATCTTAAATATGCAGATCATAATTTTGAGATTGTTTTATTTTATTGCTAGATTTGGAGAATCTCATGTAAAGGCATGTAGCATTTATCTGCCCTTCCTCTTACATGTACATATATTTTCGAGGGAGTTGGGATTGATTATATATAATGGAGGGAGGTTGGATTGATCATATATTTTGGAGGGAGGTTGGATTGATCATATATTTTGGAGGGAGGTTGGATTGATCATATATTTTGGAGGGAGGTTGGATTGATCATATATTTTGGAGGGAGGTTGGATTGATCATATATATTTTGGAGGGAGGTTGTATTGATCATATATTTTGGAGGGAGGTTGGATTGATTCTGTGAAGGGCATATGATGATATTCAAGACTTTCTTGCACAATCAAGCCTTCTGACCTGATGCTGGTTGGCTTGATTTTGCAAATGCAATATAGATATATAAGTCATTGACAATATCAAGGGATGAATGAATCCTAAAATCTGTGGATAACTTGTAGTAAAGTAAATCAGAAATTTATTTTTAAAGAAGATAATTATATGGTCACAGCTACTGCAAACTTTCATAAACTACAAACTTGAACAAATGTATGGACTATCCTTTAAATTTTCTTATTAAAAAAAAAAACACAGTGTTTAATTTAGGTGTTTTTAAGAAAGTTTTGTTTTGTATGCTCTTCAATCTATAACACATAATTTTATATATAAATAGAAAACACCAGAATAAGACAGGAAATCAATGGCCGAATATAGTAGTTACGATTGAATACATGAATACACAAGAAATTTATCTGTATCTTGTTAGATTCACAGGCATTCTGTGTTTCTCGTTCACTGTGAGAATCAGTCTAGCAAGTTATTTTACTCTCTTCTCCTTAATCAACACAGACATATACTGGTGTTAAGGGGAAGCTCTTCTAGAGAGTCAGCAGCTATTTCACAAATACTAATACGGTTATCTAGATTACTGTCTCCTAAGTCGGCAGTAACCACCATTTACACCTCCTACGCACAAAATCTCTTCATGTAACCCATTATTGGATTTTTTTTCTCTTTCTTTCTCATAGTGATTTGATACTAATATTTTATTCTCATTTCCCATATGCAGCATTACTGATCATTAATCTCCAGTTTAAATACTTGATGATAGTATTAATGCTGTATTTAATTCTCTAGGAATTGAATGAAAATAGCTCTAAAACTTTTTATGATTTGTTTTTTCTTTCAAAATAAAAAAAGTAAGTTACATTTATTAAACAGAAGCCAATCAATAAATCTACATGTATGTTTTTATTTATGCGAATATTCAATACTAATTTTTTTTAAAAGACTGTTTGCTTTGGTTATATTCATGTCATAAGAGAATACTTTTTTATCAGACAATGGATTAATAAACAAAATTTTGTTAACTTTATTAGCTCAACTGAGCTAACTCAGAACACTTTTAGGAGTGTTGAATGTCCGTCATCCATCCACATTTGTTTGTTAACACTCTAGTGGTATCATTTTTGCCTCAATCATCATCAAACTTTGTCAGGATGCTTGTCTAGGTAATTGCTTGGATGAGTTCGAACATGGGTCATCTTGGCTTACAAGGTCACAGGAGCTAAAATTAGAAAAGTCTTGTTAACACTCTAGTGGGCACCGTTTTTATCCAAATATCCTGGAAATTGGTCTGAAAATTTGTTATGATGATTTCTAGGTCAAGTTCAGATATGGGTCACCTGGGGTCAAAAACTAGGTCACACCGCCCAAATATGGAAAAACCTTGTTAACATGCAGTGGTCACATTTTTGACTCGTCATCAATATTGATCAGGATGCTTGTCTAGGTAATTGCTCGGATAAGTTTGAACATGGGTCATCTCGGATGAAAAACAAGGTCACAGGAGCTTAAAATAGAAAACTCTTGTTAACACTAGTGGCTACTGTTTTGATCCAAATATCCTGGAAATTGGTCTGAAAGTTTATTTTGTCAAGTTTGAATAATGATCACCTGGGGTCAAAAACAAGGTAACACTGCCCTAATATGGAAGTCCTTGTTTACACTGTAGTGGTCACATTTTTGTCTCAATCATCACCAAACGTTGTCAGAATGCTTGTCTAGGTAATTGCACGGATAAATGCAAACATGGGTCATTTCAGATGAAAAACTAAGTCACAGGAGCTAAAAAAAGAAAAATCTTGTTAACACTCTAATGGCTACTGTTTTGATCCAAATATCCTGGAAATTGGTTTGAAAAATTGTTTTGATTTCTAGGTCAAGTTTGAATATGGGTCACGTGTGGAGCTAAACTGAAGTCACACTTCCCAAATATATGGAAGTATCTGTATGACTTTGGTCACGATTTCTAGCCATTTTCATGAAACGGGGAGCTATCGCTACAGCCACGCTCCTTCATGTAGCCAGGATTTTTTCTCTCTCTTTTAAGTATTTTCTAACATCTACTTTATTTCCCAAGAAGTATTACAGATCTTGAAACTTAACATACTTGTTACATATGCAACTCCATCTCAGGAATGAAGTACATAAGCTCTATAACTTTTTACGAATTTGCTTTTTTCAATAAAAAGTGTATTTGAGGCTTATATTAAGTTTTTGTTACAACTCACTTTTTTTAAAACTTTGAGGTTATTCTGTTGAAATGACATACTTTTTAATCACGACATTAATAAACAAAATTGAACTTAATTGTCAAGAGTTTTGACAGAATTATGCTTTTGAATTAGAAAATACACATTGAATTATGGGTAAATCCACTTTTGCCTTAACTCTCTTTGAGGAATGCTTTGAACTTTAATTGCTATTTCAATCATTACCATCTGTTACGGCAAGGAGAAGGAACTTGAAGAAATTTGTTTAAACAATCACTTGGACAACTACAACATAACAAAGCTTGATAAAATTTATTATTATGATTATAGGTCAATACTTTCAATAAGGTCAATCTATAAATATGCTATACGCCCAAAAATAATACTGCTTCCTCTGGTCATAATTTGCTTGAAAATTTATAGGATTTGTCTAGTTACAATGTCGTAGTTTGAACATGTACTCGATGAAAAAATCACGGCTTAAATTTCTCTCACAAGTGGCTCTGTTTGATAAATATCCTGATTGTCTAAATTTATTTAGTCAATAGTTTTTTATGTCACTGGTCAACAGCCTCCTATTGAACCTTGAACATTATCAATTTTGCTTCATGCCAGGTGTTTGTCAAGGTAACACATCAATCAAAATGTCATTCTTCACTGAAATAATCCAAGCTATGCCAATTAGTCACTTTAGTAAATACAGAATGCTCTGTATTGCCATATCTGACATTGCAAAAATTTTTTATTCGGCAAGTGAAACACCTATCAAAAAAGTCGAGCGACGCTGTCTACGGACAGCCTTGTTTATCACATTTTCATCAATACAAACTTTGTCAGGATGCTTTTCTAATTAATCTCTCGGAAGAATTAGAACATGGGTCAATTCTAATGAAAAACTAGGTCACAGGAGCTAAAAGTAGAAAAATCTTGTTTATTCTCTAGTGGCTACTGTTCTTATCCAAATATCCTGGAAATTGGTCTGCAAGTTTGTTTTGATGATTTCTAGGTCAAGTTTGAATATGTGTCACCTGGGGTCAAAAAACTAGGTCAGACAGCCCAAATATAGAAAAACCTTGTTAACACTCTAGTGGTTACATTTTTGACTCAATTGTCATCAAACTTGGTCAGGATGTTTGTCTTTAAGAAGTAATTGTTTGGATGAGTTTGATGGGTCAGGTGAGCAATCTAGGGTCATCTTGGCCCTCTTGTAATTGATATACACTTAGCAAAGTATTTGAATACCAAATGTGACATTTTAAGTTATAAACAATATTGCTTAATAAAACTGATGAACTTACATATATTTTTTTCAACTGATTGAATTAAGAAATATGA